CTGCATAACCACTTTAAGACTTTCAATAATTATATATCTCCTAATAAAAGATTGTGTCGGTGGAATGTCCATTTATACTATTTGCACATTATTTTTTTCAGTATCAATTTCAGATGTTTAGTCATTCGGTTGAACAAGTTAACAACTTGCCATGTTATAGGCCCACATGCAACAGAAGAAAAACTTCAAACCTCATAAAAATATTTTCTTGCAATGGATCAGATATATTGTATTTGAATTTGAGTAAGATAAATTGCCATTAAAATTCAGATTAAATATACCTAAAGACAATGGCAGGGTAAACTGAGTTTCAGATCTAATTTCAAAACTTAGAACCACAACTGACCGTTTGCAATAAAATATAAATGTGATAAGTTGGAGATTTTCTACTGTAAAGATTTTTCAATGAAGTAACTCATAACTGATAACCACTTCTCTGTTTATATTTACATTATGTAATATATATTTTACTGATAAATTGCTCCTTTTTGAAAGATATCTAATGCCTTGGAAATATTTTCTGTAGCAATTTACTTAACAAATTTCGAATCAAAATTGGTATTCATGAAAACTTATGAATTTTCTTCATATGCAATATTAGCAGTAATTTGTATATTCCTTTTTTTTTTAGTGTCCAATCTAATTGTTTTCAGTAGCAGTAATTTGTGTTTTGTTTTTATACGTCATAGAATAGATTTTTAGTACATGCATGGTTGAAAAAAATATTCAACTGGAATTAAAACTGTTTTTCTTCAAAATATGAAGTGTATGATCAAAGCTTAACCAAAAGATATGTACCATTCAGGGTCTTGATAGACAAGAAAAGAGAAATCCATCTGAAGGTCATCACCTTAGCAACAAAGGTTGTCACCCATTTGTAGGTCGCTGTGAAAAGGAAAACCATCAAAACATGATTAATAGAGCATCAAAGCCATGTTGTTTTACATTTGTTTGACTTCATGTAGGATTCACTGTTTTTTATCGTTAATGAGGTTTACGGATAATATAATTGACCAGTTCAAACTCAAGTCAGGCACCTTGTAACTGGTTGTCTATAGATGCATCTATAAAATTTTTTTTTTTTCCAGAAATCTTCGATTTTCTCTGTTAAATTTATTCAAATCTCTTCTTGACTGAGGGTGATATAGAGCTTGATATATTTTGTAGACATTTGTCTATTGTTGAAGAACATATATTGACTTCTTGATGTCTTTCGGTTGTTTTAATACTGTTGACATAAACCTCACATCTTTGTAGGCTAATGTACTGATTTTATTATTTTCAATTAACTGAAAGTTTTCATGTCTATTTCAAATTTGTAGTCTCTCTCTCTCTCTTTCTTTCTATCGGTAGAAAAAGATAAAAGAAATCAGATCAAATTACAGCAAAAACTATTCACATGATAACTCATTTTCTTGCAAGTGATCAATTCTATTGAATTTTATCAAGAAGTATTTCAAATTCTTGACCTTGGTACTAAAATAACTCCAGTAAACTTTGGAAAAGGTCAACTAAATAATTCTAACTGATTTTCTTTCGCACATCTCTTGATAAAATTTTAACTGAAATGACCAGTTGCAAGAAATTGAAACTGAAAATCATTAAAATGGTAGTCGTCATACTAAAACATTATAAGCATATCAAAATTCTGAAAGCATAAAAAGCAAGCTAGAAATGACAAAGCTCATATTACATATATATCTTAGCATCCTATCCAACTATATTACACAAATGTGATCAAAGTGCCGCCAAAATAATATTTAAATGCCCTAAAATTAAAGACTCGAAATTTTTAGTTTTAATTTTGGTTATTTGATTGTGTTGGAAATTGGATAAGAGGCTAAAGCAGTGAAAAAGAGCATAAATTAGTATTTCTTGTTTGTACGAATAAGTAATTTGATTTCGTAATTCTAAATAAATTGTGCATAATAATTCATGGGTTTTGTTTTATATTGCATTAATATATCCACATTTAGTATATTATTTCGCAACTCGATTCAGTTTATGATGGTGTTGTTCAATACGACACGAGTTTATGTACAAAGTTTCGTAATCGGTTTATCATACGTATACTATGTGTCAAGTACAAAATGCAACTGCATCATCTGTATCTCTGTCATTTCATTGTAAACACATTTCTTCGACATTTTCTTTTATATGTTTTACAGCAAAGTAACATTCAATTCTGTTATTTTGAGCTGGTTAAACCACAATCTTACATTTTAATGTTTAATTATAAAACCCCCTATATAAAACTCTAATTCCAAGCACCTATCAAATCAGCAAAATTTATTACACTATAGATAATCATAAATCCACAGTATATTAGAGCTAATTTCATAATGCTTGTCGAGTAAGACTTTGGTTGGCTTGTTTGCTTTCTTTGTATAACTGTTTGCTCAAGCATTATAATTAAGATTGACATCTGCAAACAATATAAATAGGCGGAGTTAAACCTGTATACATTATATTTGGATTGCTAACCTCCAGGATAAGATCCAATCAAATTTAAGTATAATGTTTACAGGTTTAACTCCGCCTATTTATATTGTTTGCAGATGTCAATCTTAAATACAATGCTTGAGCAAAGGTTTATACAAACAAAGCAAGCAAACCAACCAAAGTCTCTCTCTACAAACATTAGTAAATTAGCTCTAACATTGTACTTTAATGTATCATTGACAGTTCCTATATAGTACTCTAAGACATCAGCTCCCATCATAAGATGGGATGAGTTTCTACTGTAGGTTATTGGATGACAGATGTTCTATTGAATAACATGAAAATCACATCTGTCAGTTACTTGCAAACAATAGGAATTGATTTAAAATTGCCATGGTAGCTGGTGGTCAAAGTGCACTGATATATGCAGTCGGATAATGAAATATCAATAGTATTTTGTAATTTAGTGTATTTATCATAAGATAAGGTATACATTATTATAAACGGTATAGAATACAGTATTCTCCTAAAGTAAGAAATGTATGAGGTCACATTTAATTTGAGTCAATATAACTGTTACAACACAAAACAAAGACAAGTGTTTTCTAGTTTTTCTTGCATCTACATGATCTAGTTAAATAATGAATTTTGTAAAAAGCTACTTTACAGTGAAGTATTGAAATCAATATTGCTCAGTTAAAACAGATTACTGTAATTTCAGAAATAATTGCATGCATAGATACTCATGAATCCACAGACCTAATTTCCTTATGCTTGAAGAGCAAGACTTTGGTTGGCTTGCTTGCTTTCTTTGTATAACTGTCTGCTCAAGTAATTAAGATTGACATCTGCAAACAATATAAATAGGCGAAGTTAAACCTGTATACATTATATTTGGATTGCTAATCTCCAGGATAAGATCCAATCAAATTTAAGTATAATGTATACAGGTTTAACTCCGCCTATTTATATTGTTTGCAGATGTCAATCTTAATTACCATGCTTGAGCAAACGTTTATACAAACAAAGCAAGCAAACCAACCACAGTCTTACTCTACAAACATTAGTAAATTAGCTCTAACATTGGTGATTTTTTTTCAATTTTCTGCATTTTATTTTGTGATTTTTTTTTTTAGTATTTAAATGTTGGTTGACACTCGTGAGCAGAACTGCTTACTTTTTATTAACCCCATTTTTGGGATCTTTAGTTTTCTGTTGACTGTTGTTTGTATCTTTTCTTTATGTCCTTGTTCATGTTGTTTAGTAGGACTTTTTTGGTAATTTCTTTATTGCTTCTTTGTATCTTTTTATTTTATTTTAAAAGAAATTTTATGGTTAGGCTAATCATAATGATTATCAGTTTGTAGATACAATGTGGCCTTGTACGGCTAATTATTTTCAGAGAGAAACTTTAACTGCCATAATATTATATCTTACTATAAAGATAATTTTCTCTGAGTTTTTCCCCAGTAGTACATCAGCAGCGTTCTTTTGAAATGATTTACACCCACTATCCATGCAAATTTACTATGAAATCTCAAGTATTTGCTTTCTGAAAAGTTATTGATACTGTCTACCCATACAATATGATTTTTTTGCCTTCCCACTCCTCCCCCTTTCAATTTTTTCTAAATATTCAATAATTTGCCATCTCAGAATCTAATGCATTGTGGGTAATTTCATTTTTTTCGTACCCTAAATTGAAAACGACATCATGTCATTGGTTGAATTTCAATTGTTTGGGATGTTGCTAGCCAATCACAGCCTTTTGGTGTACGATTTTGAAAATGTTACCCAGAATGCATTAGATTCTGAAACAGCGAATTAACATGTATTTTTTTATATACATCAATCTATTGAAATAATTAAGAACAGAAGTGTTGACAAGTACTTTGACCATCTAATTTCTAATTTCAAAATAATCTTTCACATTTGAAATTATAAACTTGGCCGTAAATTGTCACTAGTAAAGCTTTTAATTAATATTTGCTTTACATATGACATAACATAGAAATAATATGTGGTACGAGTGCCAATGAGACAACTCTCCATCCAAGTAACATGCCTTTATTTGGTCTCTGAGGCAACAAAATCCTCTGACATTTGCTATTCACCATTAATTTAATTCTTTTGATTCTTTTAATATCATAAGAAGTTTACCAAGTCAAATATGATGATCAACATCAATCACTATTGTAATGGTTTCAACCACAACAAAAATACCTTTTTTTTTTCAATTTATGTTTCAATCAAATGTCACTGTGCAGAGATTTCTTGGTACATTTTGTAGTTATTTAGATAACCTTTTAAGCAATGTTGAGAGCTATTCCATAAACACCGTTTGGCCGAAATCAAAATCTTTTAGGAAACATGCCTTCATTTAAATTTCATCAATTCTTCTCTTCCAAGATCTGACGATGATTCTTAGTATCACTGTAAACCAATAATCATTAAATTTTGAACTCTCTTTCCATTTTTTACAATATGTGCTTTTATGGAACAGCTCTAATTAATAACATGACCAAGTAAAGCATAAAACTGTCAAAAGCAACACTAACCTTTTGTGTTTCACAGTTAGGGTCACAACTGTGATTAATGAAGCGTGACACATTTCCTTTGTATGATGCATCAATGACCTCATCTGCGTTCAGTGCCATGAAGTAGAAATGACTTTCTCCTGACTTGGCATACTGCTTGGTTCTTGATTTGAATGTTTTGTAGTCCAAGACTTCACCAACATATTCCATAACAAAATCTCCACTATAAAATATTTAGACAGATGTTATCGTATTCTTTTGTGACTGTTCATCATTACAATTGTTCAAAGAAGGCTTATTTCATGTTTAAAGAATGTGTTCATTGATGAAGACACGCTCCTGCAAATGCTTACATTACTGTGTGTTGATGGTCTGCTGAGTCTAAAGATCATGTAAAATCATACTGTAATTTTATATTCCATATTAATTCAACACAAGCAACTAATGGACAATCTTGAATTACAGTTAAGCCTCAAACATGATACTTGTCCTTTCTCAATTGTTAATTTTTTTTGTCTGTTAAGTATTATAACTATTCTACATGTCATTTTCAAAAAGGATTGTAACTTCCTAAAATAAAATGCTCCGCTGGGCACAGCTTGATACGACCGCAGAGGTCGAACCCTGAACAGTTGGGGCAAGTATGGACACAACATTCAAGCTTGATACAGCACTGAATTTGGATTGTGATTAAATATTTGACACAGCATAGGTTTCTGACACAGAATGAATGTGGTCTTAAGAACTTTAAAATTTTTAATTTATCTATTCAAACCATATCATTATTATTTGCTTTTATATATAAATCAGAAATAACCAATTTAAAATGGAAAATTTTAAAGAAAAAAAAAGGAAAAAAAAATCCCCCCCCCCAAATTTTTTGAACCCCTTATGATTCATCACCCCCTAACTCAATCCCAGCCTTCCCTTTGTGGTATGGTACCTTGCAGTACAATTTCAGAGAGATCCATACACTTGAACACAAGTTATTGTCTAGAAACTAGAAAAATGCTTGTTTTTTGGCCCCAAATTCCTAAACATTTAGGGCAATTACCCCCAAACTCAAACCCAGCTTTCCCTTTGTGATATGGAACCTTGTAGTTCAATTTCATAAAGATCCATACACTTACACATAAATTATTGTCCTGAAACTAGAAAAATGCTTGTTTTGTTGCCCCTTTTTGACCCCTAATTCCTAAAATTTTGAGGCAATAACCCCCAAAATCAATCCCAGCCTTCCCTTTGTGGTATGGTACCTTGCAGTACAATTTCATAGAGATCCATACACTTGAACACAAGTTATTGTCTGGAAACTAGAAAAATGCTTATTTTTTGCCCCTTTTTGGCCCTTATTCCTAAACGTTTTGGGCAATTACCCCCAACTCAATTCCAGCTTTCCCTTTGTGATATGGAACCTTGTAGCACAATTTCATAAAGATCCATACACTTACACACAAGTTATCAGAGTTCGCGAAAATGGTCGGTCCTGTCGGTCAAAATGAGGCTCGGACCAGTATTTTGAAGGCTAGTGCCGGTCCCGATGACCGATGTAAAAACGGCCGTTGTAGTGCATATTTCAGCACTTTTTTACATCGGTTATTAGATGTACCGCAACTGTTTCCAATAAGTGTTTACATCAGTTATCAGATGTACCCGCTGCCAATTTCCGGTACTGGTTTACTGATTTATTATAAACAAACCAAAGCGGCGATCTACACGTGGCCTACTAAATTTGTTCATAGAGCCATCCCTGGCAAACAATCAGCGATTGAACCCTACAATGGAGCAAACAAATACTGTAACAGCTGAGAAAGTGATTCAGATGATGAAATGGATAGTGAAGATGACTTTAAATAAGAACAATCAGAAGACCTGAACTGGTCCTTCATTGTTAATTTGCCTGTGGGTGCGAAGAATAAAACTAATATTAATAAAGTTATTTTTCGCGATAAAATATGTTATTAATTTTATTTCAGGATAAAATTGACAGATTTTGTAGGACTGGCTAAAATTTTGTTGGACTGACAAATAATCATGCTTTGTCGGTCCCATGACCGACGGGTCAAAATAAGTTTTCGCGAACTCTGAACTTGTCATGAAACTAGAATAAAATGCTTCGCTGGGGCGCAGCTTGATACGACCGCAGAGGTCGAACCCTGAACAGTTGGGGCAAGTATGGACACAACATTCAAGCTTGATACAGCTCTGAATTTGGATTGTTATTAAATATTTGACACAGCATAGGTTTCTGACACAGAAAGAATGTGGTCTAAGAACTTGAATTTTTTTAATTTACCTATTATGGTCCAATGTCCAAAATCAAAATACATGGTTAGATTCAGCATATCAAAGAACACCATATATTCAATTTTTGTTAAAATCAAACAAAGTTTAATTTTGGACCCCAACTTGGACAAACTTGAAAACTGGGCCCATAATCAAAAATCTAAACACATGTTTAGATTCAGCATATCAAAGAACCCCAAGAATTCAATTTTTGCTAAAATCAAACTAAGTTTAATTTTGGACCCTTTGGACCTTAATGTAGACAATTTAAAAAACGGGACTTAAAATTAAAAATCTAAATACACGGTTAGATTTGGAATATCAAAGAACCCCAATAATTCAATTTTTGATGAAATCAAACAAAGTTTAATTTTGGACCCTTTTGACCTCAATATGAACCAATTTGATAGCGGGGCCCACAAATAAAAATTCTAAATTCATGGTTAGATTCAGCATATCAAAGAACCCCATATATTCAATTTTTGTTGAAATCAAAAAAAGTTTAATTTTGGACCCCAACTTGGACCAACTTGAAAACTGGGCCCATAATCAAAAATCTAAATACATGTTTAGATTCAGCATATCAAAGTTCCCCATATATTCAATTTTTGTTGAAATCAAACAAAGTTTAAATACTGGACCCTATCTTGGACCAACTTGAAAACTGGGCCCATAATCAAAAATCTAAACACATGTTTAGATTCAGCAAATCAAAGAACCCCAAGAATTCAATTTTTGTTAAAATCAAACTAAGTTTAATTTTGGACCCTTTGGACCTCAATGTAGACCAATTTAAAAAACAGGACCCAAAATTAAGAACCTAAATACACGGTTAGATTTGGAATATCAAAGAACCCCAATAATTCAATTTTAGATGAAATCAAACAAAGTTTAATTTTGGACCCTTTTGGCCTCAATATGAACCAATTAGATAACGGGGTCCACAAATAAAAAATCTAAATACATGGTTAGATTCAGCATATCAAAGAACCCCATATATTCAATTTTTGTTGAAATCAAACAAAGTTTAATTTTGGACCCCAATTTGGACCAACTTGAAAACTGGGCCAAAAATCAAAAATCTAAATACATGTTTAGATTCAGCATATCAAAGAACCTCATATATTCAATTTTTGCTAAAATCAAACAAAGTTTAATTTTGGACCCTTTGGACATTAATGTAGACCAATTTGAAAACTGGACCCAAAATTAAAAATCTAAATACACTGTTAGATTCGGCATAACAAATAAATAAATGTGATCAAAGATTTTACAAATCTAATGCGCCATACTGTGCAATTAAAGATTACTTCTTGAAATTTTTCAATATTTGAAATTTGAAAAAAAAATAATATTTGAAGAATAATTCTTTTTAATTTCTGAAATCTGAAATGAGAAAAAATTGGCCCCCCACAATTTCTTTTTATCCCCCCCCCCTTTTCCCCCAAAAAAAAATTCTTTCCCTCAAGATATGGTCATAATCTCAATTCAAATTTCCAATGGAGTTGGCAACCATAATTACCCATTTAAATTTACCATAGTGCTAACTTAATCTATTTTATAATAGAATTAATAAAAATATAGTGTCAAATCTTTCATATGGATTTTTTTGTAAAAAAAAAAAGATGAAAACATTTGCAGATATTTTTACTGGTCTTCCTTTATAAATATGCATTTCTTTAAACATAATTTAAAAGCAGAGTAAGGGAAGTAACCAAAACGTTGTATTTGGATTACCTCCCTTACACTGTTTTAGATTATCTTTATTGTTCATTAACCATTACTTTATACATAATTTAAAAGCAGTGTAAGGGAGATAATTTCAATGATGTATTTGATTTATCTCCCTTACACTGCTTTAAATTATGTTTTGTACTAAAGTATTTGTCCATTAACCAGGACAACCTTGTTTTTCCCCCTTTTTTGCCCCTAATTCCTAAACGGTTTGAGCCATAACCCCCCAAAGCAAATCCTAACCATCCCTTTGTGGTATGGAAACTTGTAGTATAATTTCAGAGAGATCCATACACCGTTCCACAGTTATTGTCTGGAAACTAGAAAATGCTCATTTTTGGCCCCTTTTTGGCCCCTAATTCCTTAACTGTTGGTACCATAACCCCCAAAATCAATCCCAACCTTCCTTTTGTGGTATTTAACCTTATGGTCAAATTTCAAAAAGATCCATTCACTTAAACTAAAGTTAGAGTGCGAAAACCAATATGTATTCGGACGACGACGCCGGACGACGACGACGACGACGACGACGCCAACGTCATACCAATATACGACCACAAAATTTTTTTGCGGTCGTATAAAAATGCTTGTTTTTGCCCCTTTTTTGGCCTCTAATTCCTAAAATTTGGAGGCAATTACCCCCAAAATCAATCCCAGCCTTCCCTTTGTGATATGGAACCTTGTGGTACAATGTCAGAGAGATCTATACACTAACACACAAGTTAGGTCTGTGAGTTACAAAAATGCTTATTTTTGGCCCCTAATTCCTTAACTGTTGGTACTATAACCCCCAAAATCAATCCCAACCTTCCTGTTGTATTGAACCTTATGGTAAAATTTCATAGAGATCCATTCACTTAGACTAAAGTTACAGTGCGAAAACCAATGTGTCTTCAGACGACGACGACGACACAAATGCCAACACCGTCATACCAATATACGACCGCAAATTTTTTTGTGGTCGTATAAAAATCTTGTAAATACTGCTGCCCTCTTCTTTTCTTTCTTGTTAATGAACAGTAAAATAGTGCACAGCATGGTTTAATGTTACTGATATTTCTGTAAATTTGTCACAAATCTACACCCCCACCCCCCTTCACCCTTCAATTTTTTTCTAATATTGGGAGTAGTAGTATTTCTATAACAGGCTTTATTTCTGTGCAAATCATAGTCCCAGTCTGTCCTTTCTTCACTTAAAACCATTAACCAATTTTAAAGTAACATTTTCAAAATGCCCTCTCCTAGGGGCATCTCTGCCATAGCACTTGATTGTAACAGAACTTACTGTGGCAATTCTGCATTTGTCTTTAATCCAAAGCCTTTCCAATCTGTTCTGAAAGCTGCTACGTCTGCAAATTGTCTCTGAATAAGAATAAACAGAAAACTGGTAAAAAAACTATAGTCATTGTATATCCAGACTGTAATTTAACAATTTCAGAGAATGAAATCACTGACTGTCACATTCTTGACCCATATTGTTCTACAATGTGCTTATATCTTCTTTTTTTTATGGTGAAGTTATCTTTAATATATGAATTTGATAGTCTCTAATCCTCTATTCTGATATAATGTGTATAAAAATGAGATTATGCCTAAACCATTAAATTTGTAGTAAACCAAAAATTATTTACAAATTAGAAGAAAATTCACAGTAGAAACTGTTCATGTGTTCACATATTTTCATGCAAACGGCATTTAATTTAGATTTACATGAAAATGCTGAACAAAAATTGTCAGTTGTAAAACTCAAATTTGCTGAAAAGCAGCTTGAGTTGGGCTTGAACCATTTTTTATTTCCAAAGCTATCAGCTTATCAAAATGGAATTGATCACATACAAGAAAAAAAGTTAACACATAAATGCTTCCTGATATAACAACTACTTCTTTAATTAATTCATTTCTAATAATTTTCTTTTTTTCTGAATTACAATTATGGCTTTTTCATTAATATTCATGATATTGGAGGGTATCACTGGGTTTCCCCATAAAATACATATGTAAATTTACATATGTCAAATGGACAAGCAACCACTGATTACTTATGAGCCATGTTGAAAAATAACCTTAAATACACATTTTAATTGTATAGCCCCTTGATATATGTATGTTTTTAAAACATATTGGAATTCCTTTAGAAAACCACAGTGATTCAACCATAAAGGCTCACCTTTTGGAACCTCTTGTTGGTACAGAAATCTCCACACTGACATCTGCTGCCACTGTTAAATAAAATCAATACAAAAAATTTAGAGCGTAATTATAGATTTCCATAAATATAAAATCTTATTTCATTCATATATTGTATGTATAAGATCCAATAAATAGAGATTTATACTACGGTAACCTTGATCAGTTACACATCAGTTACAAAATGTAGAATTTGGTTATAAAGTTGTCCTAGGTTAGCTTGTCCGAGGGTAACACAAGCCCAGTAGCTCAGTACCTTTAGCGGTCGTATGAAAATAAGGATATTGTTTTATTGAAATTTGCTTTTATAAAACTTTGGAATGGTTTGAAATTAAGTAATGTATCTCCATCATGCACAACTCCGATTCCTTATCCATGTTTGGCTATACTTTTGGTTCTTTTTGGTTATATCTGCACTTTCAACATTTGTATTAGCTACAGGTTTTGGATATACAATCATTTTGGCCTCGAGCATCAATAAACATGATAAAAAGAGATATTAATTGTCGAAACATGCATCTGGTGCAGTAAAATTGGTAATATTAGAAATAAGGAACTAATTTAATCAGAGTAAATCTATTTTTTCTTTTTTTATGTTTTTAAATTTTTGTTCTTCTTCTTTTCAGGTTTGATTAAAGTTAAGAGTTATTAAGACTTCTTTAATGGCACAGTTTTCTTCGTTTTTTTTTTCTTCAATGCAATACAATGAATGGAACTTTTAAACACTGAATGAGATAAAACTTGTTTGCAAAAATAGAGTCTATTTGGTAAACGTGTTGTTTTATTTCTGTCTCATTGACGTTTACCCTATGTCTCTTTTTCTTTGTTTTAGTTAATCATGTTAATTGGTGAATAAGTTTCAATGACACACTAAATTTCAAATCATAAACATTGTCAGGCCCTATATTTGTTTAAATTCTTGTCCTTTGACCTCTGATGGGTAGTTGTCTCATTGGCAATCATACCACATCTCCTTACATGTCCAGCTGCAGTTTTTTTGTTTTATCAGTAACTGGTATCGTTTATTCATTTTTGTTCAAAAATTTCCACACTCTTGTTTTTGGCATCTTTTTGCTTTGCACCTTTTCATTTTTTAGCATTGTTGAAACATCTAATTTTCTTTTTTTTTCAATTGTCCATGTATTAAGTATTCTACAAATTCTGGTTTTAAGCAACCAACAATAATCAATCCCATTCAGTAAATTTAATAATCTGCTATGTGTACATCCTTTTCTTTGATCGTTTCTTCAACATGATGATTCTTTAATCACACAACAACTGCATGACATTTTTTACCAGTGAGAACAGCTCTCCTGCATTCCTGCACTATAAGGGCTCATTGGGACAGGGATGCATTTCAACAACTCAGTTTTCGAGATTGTTACTCTAAGATAAAATAATTACTTCAACAGTTCACAATAAAACGAAACTTGATTGCAATGAATCACCAAATTACTGACTGAATTATGACAAGACTACATTTTCCCATTCCTTAACATTGTTACATTATTCGGGTGAATTCAAAATTCACATACATGTAGGGTGTTAATAACATATTACAACTGGAACATGAAACAATTAAGATGTTTTTAAAATAAAATATTTTTTTCTGTGCATTGTTTGGCAATAGATGATAGCATCTGTAATAAGATTTCAAAAGTTTTGTTTTCTTTATATATTGACTTTAAGACCCTAACCACAGTCTAAGTTTATTTTTGTACGCATTTTGTTTAGGGTCTTCAATTCTTCATTTCTCAATCATTCTTTTTTATCATTTTGTCTCATATACATATAAACTTGTATTCTGTATTTTTTCCAAGGTAAATTCAAGATTAAAATTGCATGCAAGTTCTTCACATATTACTCCAATATTTTTAGATTTTATGGTCATGAAGTCTTAGTTTACATCATTTTGACTCCCTGGAGCTTTGATGTATTTTTTAGGACTATAATTTATAATGGCATTAATTTACAACTGAAGCTCTCTAGGTTCTCTGTTGATTTCTACTGCATATAGCATGTATAGTGAAAACTTGAAATCAAATGTGTAATGGTTTTGTATTGTCATGGTAGCAGGTCACTGGATGCATCTCTCCTAACCCATTTGATCAAAGTCCATTTAATTTGTTACTTTACTGAACTCTGTTTATTAGAACTCGTCCGATGTTCAGAATCCGATTGAAGAATGTTAATTTTTTATTTAAGAAATAATTCTAGGGCTGCTGTACATTAAAACTGAAAACAAACAACTGATTTCTTAAATTATTTTCATTCTTCCACCAAAATGTTTAACCTTGACTACAAAAGAAAAGTTGTGCGGTCAGCGTTTTTATTCTACATTGGAAAAAGCGATTTAATTTTACTACGGACGACATCACTCTGAGAAAATATTTGTGTATTAGTCACAGTTGCATTCAATTTGTTAAGTAATAAATTTAACCAAGGTGGTTTTACAGTAAACTTATCAAATTGTACATGATAACTGTCATCATTTTCAATTGCACAATAGATGTCCTCCCAAAACACTTACCTTTATAAGTAGTACCAAGACTTGAGACTTATAACAAGAAATCAAAAGATGAATATTTTCAAATGCAGCAAATAGATGTACAATGCAATATTTTTCAGGGGCCTAGGTGGCCGAGTGGTTTAAGTAGTTACTACTGTAATCACTAGCCAGTCAACACTGAGGTTGTGATTTCGAACCCCGCTCGTGCGGGTGCACTCGACTCCAATCTTAATTGACTAGGATTGTCAGTTTCCTATCGAAGGTCGGTGGTTTTCTCCGGGCACTCCGGCTTCCTCCACCAATAAAAACTGGCGGCCACGAAATAGCCCAAATGCATTGCTTAAAAGTGGCGTTAAAACACCAAAAATCAAATCAAATCAATATTTTTCAGAAGAGTTTCCTGTTAGAAGGAAAAGGGAAGAAATCTCGTTGACTGATACCACTTAAAATATCTTTCTTTTTTTGTATATCCAAAACCTGCAGTTAAGTGTTCATTGCTTTTCATCATTCATAATAGATGGTGTTTCGATATTTTGCTCATAAAAAAACTCGAGCTCTGATATACCGCACATCTTCATTTATTCTTGCAAGTGATTTTCTGTGTTGTACTTCAAAAAAACTTGCTAAAGCTCACGTCCTGTGGTAACATTAATCTCATCATTACAGACAGAACAGTTGTCGTTATTTGTGAAATAATTCTGTTTCCATAGTAACACATACTGCCTCATGTACATGCTTGTTCCATCCCATTTCAGGACAAATTGACTTAAGTGGTTGTCGTTTGTTGCTGTATATCATATTTGTTTTTATTCCATTTTTTTGTACATAAATCAGGCAGTTAGTTTTCTCGTTCATATTGTTTTACATTTGTAATTAGTGGCCTTTTATAGCTGACTATGCGGTATGGGTTTTGCTCATTGTTGAAGGCCGTACAGTCACCTATAGTTGTTTACTTCTATGTCATTTGGTCTCTGGTGGAGAGTTGTCTTATTGGCAATTATTCCACATCTTCTTATTTCTATATAAGTGTAATTTGACCTTTCATAAATGTTGACATAATGATAATTTAACACAAACAATTAAGAAAGTGTTGCAACCTGTGTCTGCTGTTTACGTGGTATAAACAGTTCATTCAATTTAAAATAATTTTCTCTCTCTCTTAATTTTCTTTTATCTTAATTGGTCACAAAATTTCAACTTTATCTTCTGTCATTTTTAATCAGTTAATTGTTTATAACTTTTCAAAATGTCTGTATATCAAACCAAAATCATATTCTGTATCTTAATATTTTTGTATTACATCTACACCATTGTCGGTATAAATCTATACTTTCTCTATCATACTGAATACAGTGACTTTTTCCCCAAGAGCAAGCTTATTGAATGTAAATATTTTTTTTTGTTATGTTTGACAAAAATATATTTGTGGAACCTCTTTTTAACTGATTTTATTCAGATTAGACGGGTATACGGATTAACATGATTAAGTTTGTATTAACAAAATTTATATATTATTAAGTTTTTTGAAACACGACCTCAAACTCATCAAAGGACGATATCCTTCTCCCTTGATTAAATGCAGCCGAGAAATTCCTGGAGCTATGAAGACAACAGATAATTTGTTTATCACTACTTTCCTAGCTCATTGTTAAAGGCTGTATGGTGACCTATAATTGCTTAAATCCATATTATTTGGACTCTGTTGGTTAGTCTTCTCATTGGAAATAATAGCACATCTCCTTATATTATATTGATGTCATTTCAATCTTACTCCACTCAACTGATAAAAATGCATTCCAATCCAGTGGCATGAAATGTAAAATCAGCATACAGGAAGATCAAATGAAAATTTCAGAAAATAGTAATAATAAATTATAACAGTATTTGTTAGATTGCTTTGTCTGTTATAGTAATTTGTACTTAATACCAAGAAAATATGTGCTTCCAAGCATAGATATAGTGTTAATCGATACATGAATTCCATATTAAGTACAGCTAGGTCATTTTAGGTTGTCTCTTAGACTTTGATATGAAGAACAGCAATAAAAGTGCTGTACCTTTGCTTTGAGTTTCTTAAGGTGTTTAAAGTGGTTTTGTAACATATAAAAGTAAACCATATCATTTCTTTTCTGTCACAATTGTATGGTGTGATAAAAACGACTACTTCAATAAAGTGTAAAGTTCACGCTTTTTTGGTTCAGACTCATATATCATGGCTAGCTATCATTTGTAATATTAGTAATTTGTCTTTATAATGCAATTAATATGATTTATATCAATCTTCCTGCATATTTCTCCAAATAATGTTAGACTATATGTTCAAGTTATATACTCCTTACTGCTTTTACCTTATAATCAATTCTTTGTCCGGACTTGTCTTTGGGCTTTTTAATGACCCTTATCATTACATGAGACATTTGAACAGAGATTAGCAACAATTGACCTTATCACGTTATATGCCAATCTCTTTTGCACTGCAGTCTTGACACATTTTCTCTTGTGATGTCAAAATTTCATGGGAATATCTGTGGTGTCCAGAAACAGCGAACAAACAGTGATAAAGTGTGTAAATATGTTATGCAATTTGCTTCTTTTTTTTGAGTAAAGGAGCTTCAATAAAGAGCTTGCTTCATGGCAAGATATAGCAGACATCTATATCATCCTGAACATGCATGAAATATTTGCCACTGAGCCTTAAGAAAGTTACAGTTAATCAATCAATCATCATCTGAGTTAGGCATCAAATTGCATGTTTCTTCTTTTATTCAAATTGATAGCATTACAGTAAATGCATCTGGCAGTAAACTGTTATCTCAATGATCTATGTTTAAGGTACATAGTAAATGATGACTAGGAGTATGGAAGACAGGGTACCAGCTGGATATCATATATCAATCTACCAATCATTCTTTCAAAGTTTACAGCAACATAAAAAAATTGGTAGTACTTTCTTTTGTTTTTAGCAAACTCTGTTGGTTTTGTTTTTCTTTTTTATACAAAAAATTCCTAGCAATAATAACTTATCACATTGTATTAAACATTATACACTACATACCATTCTATATACAACATACGATTCAGGCAATCTTCTCCACAGGCATCAACGTTACATTTCTTTTCTTCATCAGTAATTGTACAATCACACAACATTCTCTTCATTTTTTTGCTCTTCTTTCTATAAAAGTGAGAAAAAGAAACAGGATTTAACATACATATACATTAAAGCTTTTTTTTATTGTGTGAAATTATTCCACGATGTTATGAACTGTGACCAACAGAATTTATGCTATTGGTTTTTGTTTGTTAAATTTTCACTATACTACAATGCAAACTTTATATTATCTTTTGTTGAATGTTAAAAGGATAAAAATTGCATTTTACCACTGGAATAAAGTTGTAAAATGAGCCCTCTGATCTCTTATTTTAAATTTTGCAATGAATATCAAATTAATTTCATGTACTAATTCTCATTCAAAATAAAACTATTTCTCAGGGCACATATCCTTATGCACGTATCATTGCATTTTTGTTTACATTATTATATATGTCAACAAAATGAATTATTAAAAAGTCTGCCATTCCAATTATTAAATCAAAATTTGCAATTTTTACACTGAATTGCAATATATTTTTTTTTAATTTTGTTCATACACTCAAAGATTTGACTCATTCCATCTTCCTTTATCTCCTAAATGTCTGAAAACTAAAAATTTAAATTGGTGTAGCTAAAACTGTATCAAAGCCCTGAGAAACAGAACCTTTACTTTGAATGATTCAATGAATCTATGTTACTTACTTTTCACTGAGGTACAAGTTCTCATCAAGCAATTCAAATGTAGGTGGTTGGTTAGGATCAGCCTCTTCTTCTGGTTCCTTGGTCTCCTTCACTTTCAATGGGGAATCAGTCTCTTTTACTTTCTCAGTTTTCAGTGGTGAGTCTGTGTCTTTGGCTTTTTCCTTCTTGTCCCGTTTCTGTGTGGTCTCTTTCTTTGCTTTGAAAGTTGGCTGGGGTTTCATGGCTTCTGGTGTTATGATCAGATCAGATGCAGGATCCCAAGCATCATAGACAGCTTGCTTTACCTGGGCAACATCACTGGTTCCTGGTTCCTTCATTGGTGAAGCTTCGGAACCAGATGAGGCAGGTACATCAGTCATATTACTATCAGGGCTCTGTGTTATTGGAGTTTCAAAATCACTTAGCCTTCTCCAGCGAGACTTCACTTTTTCTGGACGTGGTGAAGCAGATGGTGGAGGTGATGACAAATCTGCATCCTTTTTGTCTTGCTTCATTCCCAACTTGATTGGCAGCCCCGTTTTCGATGACGGTGGTGGATGCTTTGGTAAATCTGTCACAGGTGAAGGTGTAGCATTCTCCGTTTCTGACAATTCTGACAACTTCTTCGATTTTTCTTCTGTGTCTGACTGGAATGAGCTACTTACGACATCTTCTGTTGGCATAACAAGTGACAAGCCTTTCTGTTTGATTTTGAATCCTTTCATGGCCATCTGCGGTTTTGACAGTGGTTTGATTTCTGCTGGTTTAACTTCTTCTACTTTTATCTCCTCTTGAATGGCCTCTTGATAAGGTAGTTCAGGTAACTGGTAATCTTTAGAGGAGGACGTGACTACAGGAGAATCTGTCCTGGACAGCTGACTTGGGGATAGACTTACATCTTGTGGTGAAGCTGTTACTAGTAACTTCTGCTGTAACACTGCCATTTGCTTTGGCCTTGCCAGCTGACTAGGTGATTGACCAGCTTCTAAAGGAGAAGCAGGCAGAGGGGACTGCTTTTGTTCCATTGGTTTAAATGTAGGAATATTTTGTTGAGTAGGCATAGGAAATGGAAGCCTAGTACCTTGAAGACTGCCAGCAAATGGTAATTTTGTAGAAGCTACTGGCTGAACAATTGCTGGTCCAATCAAAGGTGGGTGTTGCGGTTGAATTAGGCCTGGTGTGGAATATTCCGGTTGAAGTCCAAATTGTGCAGCGGGTGTTGGTAACAGTCCCGGTGGCTGAAGTAATGGAGTTGGTTGAGGTCCTGTTGGGTGAAGTCCAGCAGCCTGGAATATCGGAGGTTGATTTCCTAATGGACCTTGATGTGATGCTGATGATTGGGCTAAAGGACCTGGCTGAGGTTGATGACCATACATAGACTGGTCATATAACTGCTCTGATTGTCCATAACCCTGCTGTTGTCCATACATCTGTGGATTAGGTTGCTGATACTGTGACATTACAGGAGCTTGCTCTGGTATACCATGTGGTGGCATCATATGTCCAGGGGGTGGCATGCTGTGTGACATTGCCGTATGTTGTGGGGGCATTCCTGGAGTTGTCATTGGTTGCCCTTGAATTCCTGGTGCTGTCATTCCTGGAGGTGGCATACCTGGAGCTGGAATGGGCTGTTGTGGCATACCCTGTGGTAGTGCTGTTTGATGAGGTGGCACCATTCCTGGAATATTTTGTTCATGGCCTTGCTGAGGTGGTGGCGGCATTCCTTGATAACCTGGATACCCTTGAGATGTAGAAGTGACAGGGTAATAGTTTCCATAAGCATCTTGGTAATATTGTGGAGGTGCACCTGTTTGAGCAGTGGTGGCTTGGTAGTATGGTGGAGCAGTTCCTGATTGTGAAGTGACAGTAGTACTTGACATAGTTGATGTAGAAGCAGTGCTAGAAACAGCAGCTGAAGACTGACCTTTTGTTTTCTTAGGTTTTTCTGTTGCCATTCTAATCCATTCTTCAGTCAATTTATCTACCTCCCCTTTAGAAGAATCAAGGTAGGCCTCCTTCTCTTTTCTAGCAGACCTGGACGAAGACATTGAGTCATCACTTTCATCACTGCTGTATCTTCGCTTATCACGTCGACTCCGCTTACTTTTGCGTCCTCTATCTTGACTTCTACTTCTATCTCGACTTCTGCTTCTTTCCCTGCTACGTCTTCTAGACTGTTCTTTGCTACGATCTCTACTTCTGCTTCGACTATTACGACTTTTGCTTCGGTCTGGACTCCTGCTGTGACTTCTACTATAGCTTCTATCTCTTCGATCATGGTATCTTTCTTTTTTGTGTCGTTTTCTTTCGTATTTTTCAAATCTCTCTGAACTGTCTCTCCTTCTTTTATCCCAGAATTTATCTCGCCGCTTGTCAAAAGATTTGTAGCGGTCATCATGTCTTTCTTTTGAATAACGATCTTCATAATCTTTGTCTTTTGAATAGCGACCATAATCTTTATCTTTATAATCTTTATCTTTGTATTTGCTAGATTCTCTGTATTTACTTTCCTCGTATCGTTCTTTGTAAGATTCTCGCTCCCAACTTTCTTTCTTGCTCCGAGGCTTATCTAAGTTGTAAGTTTTGAGTTCTTTATCAACACTGCGGAATTTTTCAATCATTTTGAGGGCCTCTTCATTTTTAGTGTCAATTCCTTTAAACTGCTCAAGAAGTTTAAGGGCTTCTTCAGTTTGTGCTTTCCTCACTTTGTCTTCTGTATCCTCAGATACGGCCGCCTTTTCTGCCTTTTCTTCTTTTCCTTTTGCTACAGCAATAACATGCTCAATTTTTGGCTTCCCTCGAGTGGTAATGATACTTTCAATCACCTGTCCTTGACCTTCAGAATTGTCTGGTTCTTCTTTCACTTTCACAACCTCAACCAGCTTTTTACCTTGCTTTTGACCTTTTCCATATACAACAGTTTCAATAGCCATGCCTATATCAAGATCCCTCTTGTCGTCTGCTTCAGATAGAATTTCTCCTTCTTCAGTAGAATCTTTCTTTAGTGATTTCTTATCAGCAATTTTCTCAGCAGATGGCAACTGCAACAGCTTACTTGTCAACAAAACAGATTTTGTTTCAGTAGTTGGACTTATATCTTCTGGTGCTATTTCAATCATTCCTCCAGTTTCTTCTAGTTTCTTTTCTAACTTCTCATTATTTTCATTCTTACTTTCTGACACTTTGGTAACCATGGAAACAGACTCGACCCTTGGCATTTGTGCTGTTTTGGACATCTTTAATATTTGTTTTGCAATATATTCTGCCTCTGTCATTTCCAGTGAATCTTCTCCTAGAGGTTTTCCATCAATATCAGATGATGATTGGACTGGCATTGAATCAGAACTAGTCTCTTTAACTTCTTCCCGCTGTGAATCATGAGTCTTTTCAATTTTCAGTTCACTGGTAAATGGCTTTGGTGACGCCGGTTCAGTTTCATGACTCTCAAGTGAGTTTGGTGCAGCCTTCTCTTTACTAGGAATACTACTACTCTCTGGATGCAATTCCTGTTCATCAGGAACTTTGTCAGTTCGGGGTTGTGTTTCTATTATAACTTCATGTTTCAATTCATGTGTCAAATGTTCATCATCCGATTTCTTTTCAACACTAGCCTGACTTTTTTCAGCAACTTCTTCCTGCTGTACTTTTGTTTCAGAATTTGCCATTGTGACCTTAACTTCCGTTATTTCCAGTGATTTTTTACCATGAGCATCCAAATCTGTAGGTTGTGTAGGATCATACAGATCTACGCTGCTACTGGATGCTACATTTTGTGTCACCTGGTCATCTTCCTGTGGCTTAAAAGACTTTGATTTCTCTAAAGTTTCATCATCTGTAGGCATGAACGGGTCATACAAATCATCAGCTGTTGGTTGTAAGGGATCATACAGGTCAACGGCCACTGGCTCAGCCACAGGTGGATCCCATCTACTTTTCGATCTTCTACTAGATTTCTCTTGCTTCCCTGTATCACTACTAATCTGCACTTTTGTTGTGGTTGCATCAATAGATTCCACAGGTTTTTCAACTGCCTTGTCTTTTTCCTCTGTTTTATTCCATCGACTTATAACAGGGGTTTCAGGAGCTTCTCCAACTATCAAAAGTGCTCTTTCAGGAGAATCAACCTTCCTCTCCACAGGTTTTGACTTTATGACGAGACTTGGTGTTTTGAAGCTAATGTCTGGATCATCACTGGAGGTGCTAATGAAACTATCGTCTGCTTTTCCAGTGAAGCTGTCATTTGCTTTCTTGGTGAAACTGTCGTCTGCTTTCCTAGTGAAGCTGTCGTCTGCTTTCTTGATGAAGCTGTCATCTGCTTTCATAACAACTGATTTTTCAGGAGTAACAGATTTTTCTTTCTTTTCTTCTTTTTCTATTGTCAGTTTTTCAACAGATTTCTCAGGAGAGGTTCTGTCTTCTGGCATCTGGGGAGGTGTAATTTCCACAGTTGTTGCCTCCTCAGGAGCTGATGTGTCACAAGGTTCATCCACTATTTTTTTACCAAGAAGTTTGTCTGTAAAATCAACATCCTCCTCGTCCTCCCAAAGTTTACTTGGATTACTGGATTTTGGTAAACCAAATTTAACCAGTGGACGTTTGTCCTCTGGCAATTTCTTTGAGTGAAAAGAGAAAGCGGTTTTCTGTTGCATTTGCAACAGTGGTGTGGCCCCTTTTTGCTGTGATCTGATTGGATATTCTTTTCTGGGTGGTTGTACAGGCATTATTGTGTTTTGCCTTTCCTGTTGTATTTCTGTGCTGGCTTTCACATCTTCAGCTATTTTCACTTCTGATGAGACATTCAAGTTTTCACTATAACTTGATTTTTCCTGTCGAAGTATTTCGCCGGGAAGAACGATCTCCTCCAATTTCAAATCTGTCAGTGAATCAGCATGAGTCTTTTTGATTGGACTAGCTTTTGGACTCTTCCTGTTGCCAGTAGGACTTAAAGCTTCACTAAAAATCTTAATTCTGATACCTTCTCCTGGTAATGCAATGCTCGACAAGTCCACAGATAATGTACTATTTAATTTTGGATCATTTTCTATAGATATTTCATCCCCTTTTCGAGACTTTTTATGACGCTTAGACAACTGTCTTTCAATAGAAATATCTGGTGTTTTCTGATCAACAAGGTCGTCACTGGATCGTGATGATCTTGTTCTTCTTTTAGCAGCCTGTTTTTCTTCTGTCGCCTCCCTTTGAGCATCATCATCTTCAGACTTCCGTGACCGTTCGGTCATTGTTGAAGGTTTGGGGCTATCTTCCTTAGCTGTGCATCTTGGACTATCATCTTGTGAATCTGAAGCTTTTGATCTGAGAGACCATCTGGATGTTCCACTCTGTTGAGATTCTTCCAATAATTTTGTTGACTGTGTTTTTTTCATTTCCTTTGTTTCTAACATTTTATCCTCAGTATCGTCCTTGTATGTTTGTTTCAGCTTATCAATTATCCTTGCACCTCCTGGATCATATGTTCCTTCTTTTACCTGACTTGTCTCCTTTTTAAAGTTAACATCAGTACTGGGTTCTATCTCCTCTGAACTTTGTAGTTCTATTGAAGTTTCAAACTTTGTACGCCTTGCAGGAGACAATTCAGCTGTCTCTTTCTTATCAGTATGGATTTTTGAATGCTCTCTATCCAATGAATGTCTCTCTAATGACGATCGATAAGTTTGCTCTCTTTCTCGGGATCTTCTATCTCCTTTTTCAGATATATGCCTGTCTGGTGAGTATTCGTGTCTACTAGATTTTTTCTTTCTCCTTGATCTTCTACTTTGTCTTTCTGGTGAAACCTCCGGACTCTCATTCCTTCTTGTTTTCCTGTATCTATCATCATCAGGAGAGTGACTCCATCTTCTTGACCTTTCATAAGATCTAGGTCGTGCAGACTTTTCTTTGCGTTTATCAGATTCGGATGAATAACTGGTGTCTCTCCTGTCCCTCTCATCAGTTTCAGGCCTAGTTGTGTCTGTTCTTAATGACTGGCTTGCACTTTCTGGTAAATATCTTTTCTGCTCATTTTTTCTAGGTGACCTTTCAAGCCTTCGATCATCTTGTTTACTCATTTGATTTGTCTCTGATGTAACTTCATCAAAAGAACGAGTGCCAACTTCTACCGAATCAGAGTATTTAACTGCCGTTGATTCATTCACTTTGTGGTCAAATTTTACATCAGTTTTGTCTTTATTATCTAACTCCTTTGACCTGAGTCTTATTCCATATCTGGTTCTTTTATACTGTAGCTTGATGGCGTCATTACTTGGATCTGATTTTGACGCAATAGCCTGTTGGTTATCATCCTTTTCAGAGGACTGTCCTACATTTGATGCAGCAGACACTTCTGAATAGTCTTGTACTTGTTCAAATCTATCCCTTGTTTCTGACTCAATTGTGGTCTTTATCTTTTCATCTGCCATCTTACTTGCTACATTTACAAAATCATGATCAGCAAGATTCTGGGTTGTGTCTATGTCAGTAACATTATCTCTAAGACTAGCATTAGTGTTGTCATCCGAGTCACTATAATCAGCAATGATGCTTCTTCTCAAGTCTTCAGTGTCTACAATGCCACCGCCAGTAGCTTCATTCTTTGCAGTAGATCCCAATTGTGCACTTTCATTTTCAGTTAAGTTCATTTTTATATCAACGATAGAACTGTTTAATGAAGAAGTCGAAGTATTGAAAACTTTCTCCTTTGAATCACGGATTTCTGTGCTATTTTTAGCTGAAGATCTTGAATCGTCAGAATCCTCATAAATGTTCATAAAACTACTAAGTCCATGAATTTTATCTGTATCATCAGTTTTTATTTCTTCTGACTTTGCCTTAACACTTGAAGATTTTTCAGTCCTTTGATCTAGTGGAATTGATGGTTCCTCTGGTACCTTTTCCTTTGTTATTTTTCTATCTGATAATTTTTGGTCTATTTTTTGTTCACTATATGCACTCTTTTCACCATCACTTATGTATGAAGATTCAGATTGTGAGTCACTATGATTTGATTTATCACTTGGTGGAGTATCAGGAACCGGCAAGCGTTTTATTTTCGGACGTTTCCTTATTGTCTTATCTGTGCTGATTTCAAATGCATCTATTGTTTTAGATTCTGTTGTTCTCTCCATTAGTGACGTATCACTCGGTCTAACTGGGGGGTCATCTGGTTCTCTTTTCCTAAGAGGATCTGCTTCTGTGAACCTTTCTTTATCAATGTTATCACCGTAGCTGGACTTTCTTTCCTTTTCCTCCTTTGTATTAGCGTTGTCCGACTTCCTCGTAGCCTTTTCGATTTCAAGTAATTCTGGGAAATCTTTGGTCATTGAGGCACTTTTATGTTTCTTGTCAGTGTAATGATGGATCTCATCAAGCTTATGATCAGGAGGTCTCCAGTATCGTTCAGCTCGATTATTGTATGGTTGGTCCTCAGGTGATGATGTTCGTCTATACCTTGGTGATGGTGAACGTCGACGTTCAAACTCTTCAACTACAGGTGATCTGTTTGATCTTCTATACCTGCCTGGGTCATCACTCTCCTCCTCAGACGGAGACCGTTTGGACCTTTTGGATTTTTTCTTTGAGTCACGACTCACTGGGGATCTTGACCTGTGCTTCTTTTTCTTTTTGGCTTTTTTGTCATAGCGGTCCTCCTCTTCCTTTTCAACTGGGATTGGTGAATAATATGATTGTCTGATGTCAGGTGGACTTTGATCTGGCTCTGTCTGCCATTTTCCATTTTTCTCAACCTGACCTTGAGCTGCTTTAGGTTTTCGATTTAAATAGTAATCAAGTTCATCAACAGGGTCTATTTTATAAGATTTTTCTGATGTGCTACGACTCTCTGGGTGATATCCTTCATAACTTTCATATTCACTTGTCCTAGATGGACGATCCAATCTTTCTTTTTTCCTTGGGCTTTCCTCATACTCTGTTGGTAGTTCAACCCAATCTCTTTTTCTATCTCCTTCATTATATTCATTTCTTGTCTTTGATTTTTCTTCATATCGAGATCCTGAATCAGGTCTCCTGTTTTCATAATCTACCGGTCTCCTTTCCTCATATTCAACTGGTCCCCTGTCACTATATTCTGTAGATCTCCTCTCACCATATTCAGCCGGTGGTCGCCTTTCATATTCTGATCTTGTTTTATCTGGAAAATCCTCATATCCTTGATATGCTGGATCCCTCTTTTTTTCAGCAAAGCTTCCTTCAAATTCCCTGGGTTTTTCAGTAAATCTTCTAGATTCAGACCGTTCAGGTTTATATTTTTCTTTTGGAACTTCTCTCCTGTCGTCATATCTTGGGTCATCAGGACTTCTGTCAGAATATTTTGACCCTGAATCTCTCCTTCTATCACGTACAGGTTCTTGTTTCGGTTTGACTACTTCTTCATCAGAACTTTCCTCCTTTTCTATTCTGGGATCAGGCCTTCGTTTCTCCGTCCTGATTCTAGGGTCTACCTGCTCACGTTTTCTATCATCTTCATACATTGTTTGGGGTTCACCAAGATAACGCCTTTCTTCATGCCTGCCTCTTTCATCTCCACTACCTCGTTTTACAGAAGCGCTTCTTCTCTCCCCTTCATATTCAGGTTCACTATACTCAGACCTGGCCTCTCTCTCTCTTCTTTCCCTTGTCCCCTTTTCTTCTGGTTTATAAGGTTGTTCATATTCTTCCCTTTGATTCATTTTACTGGGTTCATCATTCTGACGACTTTTGAACTCTTTTTGATATTTTTCAATGGATTTCAGATATACATCTGGTATTTCCTGTTTAGTTCTATCTTCATATGCTCTTTCAACCATTTCTGGTGGCATCCTTGGATGCGATTCCTCTTCTCTTCTCTGTCGTGGGTCATATCTATTTTCTTGCTTTCGCTCTTCTTCGGACCTGGACGACCTATAACTTTGTCTGTCTTCCGATCTTTCTCTGTCTTCCGTTCTAACATTTTCCTTTCCACCTTTCCCCTTCTTTTTCATTGTTCTTTGCTTTTCAAGACTTTCTTCAATACTCTTCAGTTCCATCAAGAGCTTTTCACGCTTTTCCTTCTTTATTCTTTCATCTTCTGGCGTTTCTAAAGACTTATCACTTTCAGATTCATCTGATGAGCTGGAATCAGAACTAGACGATGAGGATGAAGATGATTCTTTTCTAGTTCGTTTTTCTTCATGGACTGGTCTACTTGCTCTTCTTGCATCAGGACTTGCTCTGGTCCTTGGACTAGGAATTGCTCTAGGCTTTTCTACCATCTTAGGACTAGGTGACCTTCTCTTTTGTGGATATCTTGATGACCTGGGACTAACAGACCTTTCTCTTGGCTTTGGTTTGGCCACTTCTGGACTGGGGGACCGTTCTTTTTGTTTTGATGATCTATAATCGACAGATCTCAGGTCTGGTGATAGATCATGCTGTTTAGAACTTCTGTACTCCATCTGTCTTGGACTTGGTGATGGCTCACGTTGTTTTGAAGACCTGTATTCAGGGCTAGGTGGTGTCCTGTCTCTCTGTTTAGTGGATCTGTATTCTGGTGGAGACCTATCTCTCTGCCTAGACATCAGATTTTCAGGTTGCCTCTGTGGAGGAGATGCCTCCCTTGTTTTGCTAGATCTGTAATCAGCTGTCTTTGGTGATGCATCACGGTGCTTTTCTCTATGATCTGACTCATCAGGAGATTTCTCTCTCAAACTGGAACGTCTAGGACTAGGTGAGTATTCTCTTTGCTGAGATTTTAAGTTGGTCTGCATTGGACTTGGTGATCGTTCTTTTGTTCTTCTATAATTAGATCTAGGACTTGACGACCTATCACTCTGCTGACCTTTGTAACCTCTGGACCTAGGACTTGGTGACCTATCCCTTTGTCTTGATCTGTAATCTGACCTAGGACTAAGATCCTGTCTACGATTTCTAGAACCTCTTCCATATGGACTGCCACCTCTATCACCTCTTCTGAAATCATTTTCCCTTCTAAAATCTCCATATCTAAATCGCTGTCTGTCATCATAATCTCTTCTTCTAGGGCTTGGTGACCTTCTGGACTTCCTTGATGAGTATCTATCCTCATGTGACCTAGATCTAGACCTTCTATCCCTTCTATCACGAGAGTGATCTGGTGAACGTGACCTTTGTTTATCTCTTGGAGAGGGGGAACTTCGACGACGTCTTGACTTGGAGTCATCTTCTTCAGGACTTGGTGATCTTTTAGACTTGTAACTTTTATCATCCTCTTTTTTTTTCTCAGGAGAAGCATCTCTTTTCTTTTCCTCTGTCTCTTCAGATCCTTCAATTTCTTTTTCTTTCACAAACAGTCTTTCTTCCTCTGTCATATCAGCAAATCTAGATCTCTTTGCTTTACTGTCAGCTGGATCCTCTTCCATTTGTTCCTCGTTTACTTTATCAGTTGATTCTATTTCCTCTGGCACTTTAACCTCAGAAGATGTTCCATTCACATTTATTGCATCTGCAGATGGTGCCTCACTACTTTCAGCATCACCTTCTTTGTTTTTATTTATTTGCTCAATAAATTTCTGATGCTGCTGATATTTCTGCATGATACTGGACAAAGTTTCTTCTCCGTCTAAACCAGGTCTGAACATTTCTTTCTTTCCTTCCTTCCCCTTTTTCTTTTTGTCTGCATCTTCCTCCTGGCTCTTCAAAGGATTGTCTGAGGTGACATTCTTTTTAGCCGAAGCCATGGCAAACTGAATTTTACTTCCAGCCACCATTGCCACAGGATTAAAGAATCTACGAGCTGACTTTACTAAAGGATTTGATCCACCTGCCTGTAATGATGAAGCCTGGGCTTTCAGTTGTTTCTGTTTAATTCTTTCCAATAACTGTTGAGCTGTTGTTTTGATGGGGTCACCAGACTGCTTTTCTGGAGTTGCCTCCCTTTCCATTGGCTCTGGTTCTGGCTCCTCCTTTTGAAATGAAACTGGTTCCTTAACAGGTTCTGATTCAACTGTAGGTACTGGTACAAAACCTCTTGGTTGGTCTTGAACCACTGGTTCAGGTTCTGGTTGAACAACTGGATGAACAATTGGCATGGTAACCGGTTGTGGAGATGGCTGTGTCATCATAATAAGATCTTCAGCAGCCTTCTGAGCTACAGACTTATCCTCCTCTGAGACCTGTGTTGGTTGCGGTGCACTATAAATATGAGTTGGAAACACCACCATTGGTGGAGGTGGTGGAGGTGGCCTGGAATCAGCCATTGTTGGTGCTGCTGCAAACTTTGGTGGCTCAAATATCTTCTGAACTGGGGCTAAAGCTGGAGCAGCTGAATATGTTGGGGGAGCTGAATAACTCACTGGTGCTGATACTATTGTTGCAGAAGAGACTGGAGCCTCGATTGATACTGGGACTGTAGGTTCAGCAGAGTACATCATTTTATATTCTTCTTCAGGAGGTTTCTCTGGAACTGTTGGAATATCTGGCATCTCTGTGTTGTCTATTTCCATGTCATCTGATTTATGCTCCTCCTCCGCTGGGGGAGGAGGTATGGGAATTAGTTCTGGTTTTGGTTCCGGGATCTCCACTGGTTCAGGTGGAGGTGGCGGAGGAGGGAACACCATCATCTGAGGTGGTGGTGCTTGTTCATAATATTGTTGTGGCTGTGACATTGGAGGCTGAGGTGGCATCATTGGTGGCTGCATCATCTGAGGATCCATGGGGGGAAATGCCATCTGTGGATCCATTGGTGGTGGAGGTGGTGGAAATTGTGGTGGTGGAGGTGGCGGCATACCTTGCATTGGTGGTGCCATCATCTGTTGGTTCCACTGTGGATCACCCTGTGGAGGCATCATAGGAGGTGGCGGACCATAATATTGCTGTTCAGCAGACATTGGTGGCATCTCAGGTCCTGGAGGTGGCATGCCAGGCATTGGTCCACCAGGCGGCATGTGTTGTGGTGGAGCTGGAAAGCCTGGAGGTCCTTGGAATGGCATTGGTGGTCCTTGAAAAGGAGGCGGTCCCATTGGTGGTGGTGGTGGCCCTGGTGGTGGAGGTCCAAATCTTGGTGGTCCTTCAGGTCCAGGAAAAGGCATGCCTGGATGTTCAGGCGGTGGTGGAGGATACTGAGGTTCAGATGGTTGCTGAGATGGTGGTGGAGGTGTTGGCAGCAACCCTCCACGTGGTCTTGGAGGAGGAGGTCCAGGATGCATTGGTGGCCCAAAATCTGGAGAATCTGGACGAGGAGGCGGTCCATAGCGTGGTGGTCTATCTCTATGAAAGTGAAATCTATCATAGTGATGCCTGTCGTCATCATACTGTGGCGGAGGCGGACCATCTCTGTCATACATTGGTGGACCATCCCTTTCATATCTAGGGGGACCAAATCTTGGAGGTCTATCATATCTGTCATCATCATAAGGAGGTCTGTCATATGGTGGGCCATCATAGGGAGGACCATCGTATGGTGGGCCATCTCTCCTGAATCTAGGATGTCTGTCATCTCTGTCATCAAAAGGAGGCGGTGACCTTCTGAATCTTCTATGGTCGTAACGTGGGTCATCATCGTATGGTGGCCTATCATCATCTCGACTGTATCTATCCCTTGGTGGAGGTCTGTCTCGAATACCTGTAATATAATTTTAAAAATTAAAATACTCTTTCTCACTGTTTCTACTATAAACCAAAATAATTCAGACACAATTTGAGGTTTTGTTTCCATGACTACTGTGGATTCATTATCATTAGTGGGATACTTATAGATTAACCATGAATTTAAATGTTCAACAAAGTACAAGTTTTCTACAGGCCTATAAATGTTATATGCAGACTGTGGCAATACCATGATATCAACTATCCATAAAAATCCATAGAAATTGATATCCACGAAATTCAAAAGTCTTGATAGCTTATATTTTTGCATCAGTTATAATGACATCACTCTTATCTGATAAGCAATATTTAGCGACGGTCTTTATCAATTTCTTGATCCAAGCATTAAACATATGAGCTTAAGATAACATAAGGGCTATTCTAGTCAAATTGAGGAAGGAGGGTAGAAGGGGAATTTTATTTTTGCACATAAGTTGAGCATTATTTGACTATAAATGATTTTTTAATCTTTACCTGGAGGAGGTCGACCTGGACCATCCTGTTCTAATCTTCTAAAGGGATTATCCTCTATACGTGGTGGACCATCCCTTCCAAATTCATCCTCATCTTCAAACCGTCTGGGAGGTCTACCAAATCTTCCACCTCTACCTCGTCCCCTACCATACCTCCGATCAACGTCATTATCATACTCTTCCTCAAATCTTTTCTCATCGTCACTGTCTCCTTCTCTTCGCCATCTTCTACGACTTCCTTCTTCCTCCTCATCATCATAACGTGACGGTAAATCTGCCATACCTGTAACAGAGAATTTAAATGTTGACAAACAAATACATTGTATTTCTCAACTTTGAGCTACTAAAAGCACATTGTTTTTTAACATGCAAGGCAAGTGTCAACTCGGAATTACTTCCCAGTAAAGTTATAGTATATATATTAAATAAAAAATTCTGTCCTTCATGTCCTAAAAGCAAATGAAATGGTTTGTATTCCCTTTTTTTCATCTTTCCCACATGAATGACCATTGTTCAAAATTATGAGCATGCATGCATACTATTTCTTGGTATACTGCAAAGTGTGAAACTATTTGGCAAATGGTTACTTTTCTTTAATATCACGATTAAGATCGTATTGCACAAATATCCCTAGGGTTGGCAAAAACCCAGGTTTTATGAGTATTGCCCATCCCAGTGGGAAATACTGGGAAAACCTGGGTTATATCCCCTCATAGAAATTTTAGAAAGAAGACCAGAAATGGGACAAGAAAAATGCATAATTAAAAGGCGTTTACCCATAGAAATTGCCAAATTTACTTTATGCAAAAGTTAAACCAATTTACATTTTTTTTGGAAAATCTCAACAAAAACTTGCATGTATGTAAAATTGTGTCTTAAAACTGATTTACATGTAAATTCTTAATAATTACTGTACTTTTTATGTGCCGTATGCTGATGTGAATTGAATCAAATACACTGTAGATCAGGGGAATTTAAAATGGTTTGTTACATGATTTGTATTTGTTGAGAAAAATGTGGTTCTGTATACGTAATATGGACAGATGGATGCTAGGCAAGGCACCCATTGAAGGGGGCATAGTATTGAAATGTTGTATGTTAAGTCTTATTTCATTGGTGGGCCTATGGCAACTAATTGTTTTAATCGGTGTACAAACTTGCTTCATGACGTCAAGCATATGAATTCCTACACAGGCGAAATAGTTCCCTTAATGTTGATGCTTTTTATATAATTATCTAGATATCATTTTTAATGCATTTTGTTGGAATACAATTTTTTTTTTATTTGATCATGTTGATTGATTTATGTGTGATAAGTATAGATTATAACATGTCCTTTTCCATATCTTCCCTGGTATCATCCCGAAACTCCCATGTCAAGTCAAGGCGCAAACTGAACACTCATATTGACAGAGGGATGATATCACATATTTAAAAGCTTAAAACAGTGGAATCCTCCACTGAAATATTTCCATTATTAAGAATCCCCCCCCTTCCCCCCATATCCAAACTATAATACCTGAATATAATAATGTCAATGGTCAGATTTTCTTTTTAGTGTACATGTAAGTGTTCTTTATTAATATTTCTTTAACAACTTCAGCTGTTTTTTTGTGCTCAATTTGACAAAACATGTATCTTCCTTGTCTGCCATTGTTGTTAATAGATATAAGAAGATGTGGTTTGAATGCCAATGAGACAACTCTCCATCCAAGTCACAATTTGTAAAAAGTAAACCATCATAGGTCAAAGTACGCTTATGATATCATTGAGAACAGTGCACCATAATCGGTTATTAACCTGAGACACAAATAACTTGTTATTTGCCCTAGGCAGAAATATGACTACAGCAAATCTGAGGTCATTACATTCATGATTCAAAACCTGATGTTTTCATAACAAGTATGTACAATATAGGACTTCCAAACAATCTTGAAGCCATTACATGCTTTTGCAATTGCTTTTAACAATTAATTTGGGGGTCCACTTAAGATATCATCATTTTACAATATACCTACACATGCTTTTCAAGTTAAAAATTCATTTCTTTTTAAACATTAATAAAATGTTTCATTTGTATACCTTCATGGAAATAGGACTTGTCTGATCTTTTCTTGGCAGGTTTACCAAACTGTGTGGGAAAATCTGCCAAATTTATTTCTGGTTTTTCCGGTGCCTCACTTTTGGATGGACCTTCAGGTCTGTCCTCAGTCTGTCTGTCTTCTTCACCTTTAGAGGCTGCAGCTGCTGCGGCCCCATGACCTCCTTCCCTGAAAAGAAAAAATGTCATGAACATATTTATATAAAAACTTTTTTAACATCAAATAATTGTCTAAATTTGTTAGTTCTGCTTGGCAAAGTTAAGCTCATCATGCATATCATGACATTAAATCAATAAAAACACATGTTAATTTAGGATGAAGGAAAATGTTACCTTGGCTTTTAGTTTTAACTTTGAACTTCTGTTGCTCTTCTTTATTGGTTACAACAAAATTGCTCTATAGACATGTTTTGGAAGAATTACATATCTTATAAGTTATATGGTTTGCTACCGACCCCATACAGCTCCAAAGAGGGTTAGTAAAATCCATAGGGGGTGAGGCCTAAGGCTGAATCTCCTATGGATTTTACTTACCCTCTATGGATCCGTAGGGGGTCAGTAGTGAACTGTATAACCAATAAATCGCACACAGGACTTTTCCTGCTAAATTATGTATAAAACAAGCATTCTGAGAGTATTGCATGGCAATACATAGTCCCCTACCGGGTAAAAATTCATTATACTGGAACAAAATGCTAACTTGTTCTATAACTTGTCATGGTGTAAACAAAAAGTAAATATCATGTCAATATCTTCAAGCATGACTACAAACGGTGTTGAAAACTGACTATATGAGTGAATTTTTCAAGTCCAAGGACCATAACTCTGCACAAAATTATTAGACCGAAACAAAAATTTGAAATTGATCTGTAACTTGTCATGATAAAGCCAATTATCAATCAATATCTTATAAGCATGACGAAAAAAAACATTAGATATGATTAATCGTTCTCTAGAATTAGATATGATGTAAAACAGTGTATATCTATTTCTAATTATAATCAGATATAATTAATAGCTCCAAATATTTTTTTCTTTCATTTGTCACAAACTAATATAGATTTGTAACTTATCTATAAAATGTCAACAACTTTTATCTACACAATGTAATGTATTGAAATATATACATTAATAAAAATAGATTATTATCTAATTAAAGGATTTCTCTTCATAACTTTTTTTTATATATATAGCATTCAGAAAATTAGTTTATACTAAATAACAAACAAACCTGTCAAAAAAAATCTTCAAATAATTTAACAAAGAATGTCTTTTATAAACAAATGAGTTATCTCCCTCTGTACAGAAATCTGGTTTAACATAGTACTCTAACATTAGATATGGTCCACTGTTATGGTCCATAACTCTGGACTAAATCATCAGACCGGAACAAAATTCGAACTTGATCTATAACTTGTCATGATAAAATTATATCATGTATATACCAAATATCAAATCAATATCTTCAAGAACGAAGAAAAAAAGTGTGGAAAGCTGATTTGCCTGACTGATGGATGGACAGACGGACAGACAGACGGAGTGCAAACCTAAAGTCCCCTTCGACTTCGTCGGTAGGGGAATAATAAGCAATGAAATACAAAAACATTAATCGATGACGTCACCATTAACAGTAAACGTGACGTCATGAACCCCATATGAAATCTACTGACCCACTAAGGATCCATAGGGGTCACCATGTGACAACATTAAACCAATCATTATGTCATAATTTACCTGAGGTGCAATAATTATATATACCAGTATTTATTATTGTTGGAATGTGCATTTGTCATGATTATTTATGCTTCCATATCAAAATCATTTAAACAATCTCCAGCCTTTAATTATATCTAATGGCATAACCAACCCCTTTTGCATAAATATGGGGCCTCGGTGGTCAAGTGGTCTTAGTACTCAGTCGAACTATTGTATCACTAGCCTGTCAACATTGAGGTTGAGAGTTCGAATCCCGCACGTGGTAAAAAATGTAGGTGAGTTCTGACTCCGACCTTAATTGATTAGGATTGTCAATATTCGTGCCGAAGGTCATGGTTCTCTCCGGGCACTCCAGCTTCTTCCATCAATAAAAACTGACCACTACAAAATAGCACAACAGTGCTGAAAGAAGCATTACACCAATCAATCAATTATTTACATTCAATGGTATAACATGAACCAACCCCTCTGCATAAATATCTTCTCCTAGAATAGCCTTAGCTTCCTTTTGTCGAAATCTACATGTACATGTAATAGACCTACAATCCATTTGTATTTTCATTGAGCATGTTTTGGAAAAAATTATGCATTTCCTTATTTTCATATGAAGACAATCTGATGTAAAGTTGTTTTAGTAATATATACTTTGAGTTTGACCTAGAGTTAACACATGGTTAATTCCTAATTATCATGATTATATAAAGGGATTGGGAAAATTTCACAAAGATATATATACAAATCCATGAAGATTACAGCTATTTATAGACAAATGTTATGGAATAAGATCCATTTGGAAAAATGTGCATGTCATCGAACAAAAATTTAAAAACTTTTAATACATCCACAAACAAATGCAAAACCCTTAAATCATTGCTACCTATTAATGTAAATAAATAAATATGCATATTGGCAAATTTTCACTTTTTTGTTCTTATTGATTCAAATCACTTACAATGTGGCCATTACTTCATGTACTTCCTAACAAACGAGAATATTACCATCTGTTCAACAATCCACACATGGTACACAATGTTAGTAAGTACGTTTATCTGCTTCAGTTTATTCTTTTGTAACCAAATATCAATATAGGTCACAGAAATTACTATCAGACAGGTATTTATTTCATATAAAATACCATCATCAGTGTGTAATTTTAAATAAATGTAGATTTTCAAATCATATCCAGGAAATAATCACTTAAAACTGAAATCAATAATTTAAACTGATATAAATATACATGTGTAGGTACTACATGTATACAAGGTCAACCATTAAAATATGCCTGGTTCCTGTATCTGACCTAAATTAATTTTATTCTCTATAAAAGGTAAGTTATCTTGTCTGTCTTGATTTTTTTTAATTAAGGGCTCTTTCAGAAGAGGAAGGCACTTTCTTTTTTAAACTGACCATCCAAAGAAGTTTATTTAATTTTGAAACAACTACATGTATCTACAGAATTTAAATTATTTAAAGACCAACAATCCGTGGAAATAAAAATAATATTGATGTATTTACAAAAACCCATTTACTGTATATACATGTAGTCATCCATGACCAATTTTTAGCACATTTGTAGCAGTACAAACATTCCAGGTATAATAAGGCACCATATCAATGAGAGCAGACGCATACATTTTTGCAGAGACTATCCTTCAACATGTTCAACATATCATCCAAATTATTTTGTCTAATTTGTTTCATGGATAAATCTTTTCTAAATATTATGTCGTATCAAACTATTAATTCGACAGGTGGGGCAGAGAATGTCTGGAATAATTACAATAACCACCATAACCTACATATTCAGCAATATATATTTACCTGTAAAACAGTCTGAGCTCAAACATAAAAAAATGTTTTTTGGATTTTGACTTACATGTACATGTATAGAAGTCAAATTACATGTATGTATTAGAATAAAAACGTGTTTATGATTTTGGACTTGACCAAGTCAGAAAATGACAGGTCAGTAGATAGATATAAGAAGATGTGGTATGAGTGCCGAATGAGACAACTCTCCATCTAAGTAAAAATTTATAAAAGTAAACCAATATAGGTCAAAGTACGGTCTTCAACAAAGAGCCTTGGCTCACACCGAACAGCAAGCTATACATGCTATAAAGGGCCCCAAAAATTACTAGTGTAAAACCATTCAAACTGGAAAACCAACGGTCTAATCTATATTAAAAACGAGAAACACTTATGAACCACATCAACAAACGACAACTACTGAACATCAGCCATGTTAAAGATAGTTTATACATTTTTTTGTACGTAAAACAGGATGAAAATGTATTATTTGACACCTGTGACCATGATGACAATAGAAACTTAACAAGGATCTGAGCTATCTACAAGTAATGATCAGATTGAACATTTGCCCCTCACACTTAAATATTTTCAGTTTTGATTGATGTTTGCTAGTGTCGCATCAGCACAAAAAGGCTAATTCACAGCTATTTTCAGATTTGATGTTATAAATGGTTGCATTAGAAAGTGAATAAACATTGCCTCCATATTTACATTCTCACTCATATTTTTCTTCAGAAGACAAATATTGGTCTGAAAATGATATTTAATTGTTTGATGTTGCCTACCTACGGACCTGAAAAGCAGCCTACCCCGAAAAATTTTAAGACACAAATAAGAATTTTTCCTACTAGAAAGTTGTTTTCTTGTATACAACATGTAATGTTGTTTGCTAAAAAAAATCTGTACCTACCTACCCAACCCTACAAGGCATGGGTAGGCAACATCAAACAAAGAATTTGACAAGGGTGGCCTTGTCTAACAATCTACTCTCAATTTCATTTTGTTGCTTGACCTTTTTATATTTGTATGAAGTAAAACAATTTTGGTTGACTTATCAACTTGAGGAAGTTAATTATCGCAACATTTTCATTCAGGTGAAATATTTTTTGCTTTATCTAAATTGTCAAAGTCGTTTTTATTTTAAAATATAGGAAGACAAACCCATGAAACATTCAAATTTAAACCTCTATGAATCAAAAGCAAAATGGCATCACCTTCATGTACATGTACATGTATGTAATTTTAGGTCTTCCAGATACGACCATCTACAGAAAAAGCTTCATTTGCTGTTTGGGGATGGACATAGTATTTACTGGAACAGCCCTTAGTGTTTCCAAAGCATATATAAACCCTGCTACATTCTGTTATCTGTACACGCCTTTCCCAAGTCAGGATATGTAATTCAGTAGTTGTCGTTTATTGCTGTATATCATACATGTATTTGTTTTTCATTTATTGTTTTGTACATAAATCAGGCCGTTGTTATTCTCTTTGGATTGTTTCCCATTTGTCATTTCACGGCCTTTTAGATCTTACCATGTGGTATTGGTTTTGCTCATTATTGAAGGCCCATACCACATCTTATTTTCATATACATTTGTACTTCTATGAGGATCATCAAAGTCATGATCACGATGATTTTTTTATCTTCTGATTTTATTTTATATTGATGTGGTGAAAAAGTACTTTTCCAAGGTCCTTTCATTTTGTGTCCGATATAGTCATCACGCTTAGCCACAGACCCAGCAGCCCAGGGTTGTAAGATTGCTATCAAGCCTGTAAAAATCGTCACAATAGAATCTTAACTAAAATTTACCAAAAATTGAGCTCCAGGCTTACAGATTTAAAAGTTTATCGTGAAAACTGCAATGTGTTCAAGCTTTATTTCTTCAATGACAAATGCTATTTACATGTAGCTGTGGATTTGTTAGAATTCATGGACTACTTATTTTAGTGGATGTCGTAGTTTAAGTGTACAAATTAAGGTACAAATTTTGTATATGCTTGTATGACTGGGAAAACCATAAAAAAAATATCCACAACAGTACAATTTCTCCCCCAAATTCCATGAAAGTTTGTACCCGCAAAAATAAATAAATCAGGGGTTCAAATTTGCTTTATACTGTATAATGAAAGATCCAGGACCATATGAAATTTAAGTGAAAGGTCATCCATAAGAAATCAATGGTCGTGCATTAAGCATCAGTGTAAAGAATGGTAGGTCCTTGAACTTTGTAATTTAAAAATAAAAAGTCCTCTCCTAGAAAAGACAGGTCCTGGACCTCGGACCCACTCTAATTTGAACCTCTGATAAATCCACAGTACATTTTTTCATACAATACACCTTAACGCTATTCCCGCTTGACCCGAGAATCTGTCCCGCTCGAACTTTTGACGTCATACAACAATCACTTTTCCATTGTGGCGTCAGACATTTTCTATTATGACGTCATAATTTTACGGGAACTTGTGTGATGTCCAGTAAATGGCGGACAAATAGCGATAAGGTGTATGTACGACTTTGAGATTTTCCTTAGCAGCTACAATCATGACAATGTACCAGTACATTGTGTATACTAAACTAATGAAATTTCAACATAATCTGCAGTATAAAGGCCAGGGAAAATTATTGTTGGTTTCCCTTAACATTGGTAAATTGTCAAGGACCGGCAGTCAGGATTTTTTGTTTGTATCAAATAGTGATGCTATAGACTGTGTGTAGAACAAATATTTATTTACTTAGCAACTGGTATTAAACTTAGGTGACTTAAATAACATAAAGAACTGGTGTCCATGTATTCAGCCTTCATAGAATACTGGCACTTGGTGCCGAGTTGGCCATTTTGGGGGATCTGAACAACAGGGGAGCGAAACACTTAAAATCATTATCTTTCCAGTCACTTAATTGCTTCAGTGATCTAGAAACCAAGGCATGAAAAAATTATCTCGACATTGATATGCTTCTAAACAACAAAACTGAAAGGTATATGAAAAAATATTTGTTAACATTGATGGATCGGATCAAGACACTGCCGTTTTTTTTTTTTTTTTTCATTTGGTCGAAAAAATATAAATGACCCAGCGGTTTAAAATAGACCTGGTCGGGTATGGGGAAACCAACAATCATTTTTCCCTGGCCTAAGTAAACTACACTCCATGCTCACATTGACTTTGTTATTTCCACCCATCCATATGGGAGTGGGCAAAGAGAGGACAAAACTTCTGGACAGTCCGTTTGAGTGAACATGCCAATTCTTTTCTTTCATCGTAAAAATTAAACATACAATTCTATGCTTTAGAAAAATAAGATCTACTATTGTATTCAATACTTTTTTTAAAGCCTTTTGTTTAATTTTGTAGATCTATGCGAGTTGGAAGGTTGAAAAAGCAAAAACCACCTAAACTCTAGTGTACACATGAATCTTTTAACCAACATTGACTAAAGAATCCTATTATTTCTTTTTAAATTTTTTCTCAGTCTGAACAGCATACCTTTCTGAAGACTAAGTCAAACATCTCAAAACCAAGGTCTTTTGAACAGATGAACTGGGTTGAGCGATAACTACATGCAGACTAAATAAGTACTGCCATCATATTGACCAATTCCTCACACCATATTGCGATTATGGTGAAGAAGAAAATACAACACACTTCCTACTCAATTGTGCAAGATACTTACAAGAAAAAACAGAAATTATATGACATTTGGAGACATGGTGACACTACTGGCAACAGAAAGTAAAGATACCTATGATGGCTATGAAAGAACAGCACATATTATTGGAGAATATTTAGAGAGTACAGGGCAAGAACTAACAAGACATGCAAGGCCTGAATTTCAATCCTGCACCTAAAAAGTATACCCAATTACCATGAGATACAGTTATCATACAACTTAGAGAAGTAGATTACCAGACGAAACAATTAGCACACCATGAGGCATGACAAGTTGTGTCACAACTTTTTAACCTCAGCTTCAGTTTGAGCTTAGGATCAGTAAATAGATGCACAATATAATATTGGGAACGTCTGTCATGATGAGTCTTTGCAGATAAATGAGTGTGTAAAGCAACAGGTCTGGACTAAAGGGCTTTCAGTTTCAGTCCAGACCTGTTCATTGTGCAGAAGATGCTGCACTACAGTATTTTTAGGCAAGCAGTAAGCTATAACAAAAGTTAATATAGTACTACTGCAGATTATATGGGCAATTTCAAATGTCAATAACTTACTCAGTTGGGTCGGCAGGGTCATATTCTTCCATTGTGTGTTGTGAATTTTAGTATGGCCGCATGGTCCTATTTATCTACACTTCCAAGTAGCTGTTCTATGTTTTAATATGATCTAAACGTGTTGTTTTGTAAACAAGCAAGTAGTAATGCTTGTAATTTTTTTTGTTTTGATAAGTGTTTCGCTAATAAATGTGACTTAAACTCGGATAACGCTTTCTAGTTTCGTTTCTTCGTGTAGAACAGCATTGGTTAAGAGGCTCGTTGTAAAATCTGGGGACTTAACCGGAAGTTCGATTTATATTTGAACAAATAAAATTTGTTCAACATTTTTTTACTTTTTGATGTACATGCACATTTAAAGATTCGCCAATTTTTAAAACATTTATTTTCCAGCTTAGTATGAAAATCATAAGTATATGGATGTTTTTTAAAGAATATAATCCAACATAATATTATGTTCGTTGTAAGGAAATCCCTTAGTGAGCCCTAATATTAGTTGAACTTTGCATTATCCGGGCATTTTTTACCATTTCTGCCTTCAAATCTACCTTAAACCATTCTTTGATGTATAACAATGATTTACAAATATAATTTCATGAAATTAATCGAGGAAAAAAAAAGATATGGCTCTATGTTTTATGATTTTAAGGAGGACAAATCGAAAAACACCACTTGGCATTGGATATCACTAATTCCAACAACTACTTTTCCTAGCAGACATAGCACGACGGACATCATAAGACCGGCTTCATATATACCATTCTATCCGAATAAAAAAACAAGTTGCTTTAAAAAAACAGACAATACGTGAACCTTAGAACTTTTTTATTCTAATTATTAATTCAACTGAATAAGAAATTATATATCAGTGTTTGCATGGGATAATATTTTCTTTTTATTGTAAATCATTACAATTTTGGCATGTTGAGAGAAGTGTTAAATATAAAGCAATGAGGAAAAAAAAATAGATTCCCAGACGTATAATTTCTTAAAGAATAATAATGAATCAAAACATGGGGGACACATGTACCTTCTTCCAAAAATTCATAAAATTAATCTAGAAATAAGTAATGAGGCATTGCGAACTGGTCAGCTAGCAGCCGGGGTCCACATTAATGTTCGTTACCGACCAATCATCAATAAATGCAACTCTTCCGCGAGAGATACTTACTTGATTTAATTATAAAACCATTATTGAAGAGGCATAACTTTTACATTCAAGATAAAAAGATTCCATTAATAAAATAGAGTCACACGAGGTAAAAAAAAGAATGCATTCTTATTGCCTATGATATGTACGTCAAGGTACACAAATATGATCATTGATAATTTAGAAGAAACTGTTATCTATGCATTAAAATTAATTGACACACAGGAGAATATACTTTAAAGATTCTCAACAAAATAGATATAACTGCATTTGTTAAATTAATTTTTAGAAACAATGAATTTGAGTTTAATGGACTGTTATACAAACACATTATAGGAGCGCTCATGGGTGGTATATTTTCACCAACATGCACAGCTCTGCATCTGTCTGTCCTATTCTTTAAAATCTTAGATAAGTTCCAATGGAGAGAAAACATCAAATTACACTGTCAATAGGGATGACGGTTTTATGGTCTTCACAGGCAAATTAGAGCAAGTTGAAGATTTCTTTAACCTAGCAAACGAAATTGACCATCTACTTTAGTTCTTATATGAGGTGTCGACATATAGTATGACCTATTTAGAGGGTGGTAAAGGGTTATTTTCGTGCAACGTTTTCGGCCTTTTAATTTCACGTGATTTCGTGTTTCAACGTTTTATTTCTCGTTTTCTCGTGATTGTTTCGACGTGCTTGCTTCGTGTTTTTCCTTAATTATTTTCCGTGTTTCGTGTCGGTACTCTTATTTTCTCGTGCTTGTCCCGCATTTGATTAAAAAGTAAACCGGGACTAATTCAAAGTCAGTCCAGATATTGTTTTAAATTATAAACTAAGAAGATGCTGCACTACAGTATTTTTAGGCAAGCAGTAATTCAAAGTCAGTCCAGATATTGTTTTAAATTATAAACTAATTAACTGGTCCCAAGATATTTATTAATAGCCTATTGTATTACTATGATCAATCGTATGCAACTTGAGGACGCTAAAAAGTGACCACATGCAGGGTCGCCATGTCAATTTATAATGACTGCATGATCTCCAAGAACGGTTGAGTAATAACTTTTGGTACTTTTTTCCTAAATATTTACGATTTTGTTCCTTGGCTTCGTTACCAGAGTGTTTTTTTTCCGTTCAACGTTTTGCGATTTGTTATTTCACGTGTTTCAGACCCCACCCCCCACACACACACTTTTTTTACCACCCTCTATTTAGATACCGAAGTGTACAAAGGTGATCGATTCCATAGTAATGGAATTCTTGATGTTAAGTCACGTATATTAAAAACAAAGAAACATATCAATATTTACCAATCACTAGTGCACATCCAAAACACACATAAATTTAAGAGTATTAATTTACAGTGTGTGAATAATATAAGAAATAATAGTGACATCAATGAATTAAATAAACATTTCATTAGCTTACAAGATAACTTAATTGATAGAGAATACTGTAAAAAGGAAACAGTAATACCCCGTTCACACTATGCCTTTTTAAACCGGGTTCGACCCGAATTAGTTAATCCAGGTTAAATTTAGGTAGTGTGAACGCCTCAACCCGGGGCGAACCCGGATTAAAATTACCCCTCATTCGAGGTGGAGTTAATGTGGGGCGAACCTGGGTTAACTACCTCACTTCTAAATATGAACGCAAAGTGAAGTTAATGTGAGGTTGTTGCTATAGTGACATAATGAGTGATATGACGTTTGCTTAAATAAGTCTTCAATGTGACGTAACTATTACGAGACTTCATATATCGATTGACGTCATATTTTGAAAGACTTCCAGTTACCGTATTTAATTACTCACGAATTATATAACCCATATTAAATTAGCGGCAGCAAGAAGGATATAAGTGTATTTATCTATGTTGAAAAAAACTGCATAATGACAAATGATAAATCCTATAAGATTTCCGTCGCTTTTTTGTGGGCGAAATGGGTGCAATTTGGATAAAGTGACGGAGTACGGTAAAAAAAAAATCAGAATTCGAAAAAATGCATCTATAATGAAAATGTAAATATGTACAGTGGATAGATGCGGGTTACAATTTTGGCGCTTACATTTCTATTTTTGTTGAGAGGGAAAATCCCAAACCGGGTTAATTTTTTATCTAGTGTGAACAGGGGTAGTTAATTCGGGTTAATTAACCCGGGTTCGACCCGGTGCAGATTTTATAGTGTGAACACGGTATAAAAGTTGTAAAAAATGTATATTTATTTAACGAATAGTCTTTTGATATTTTACTTGTTTTATTTTCAGTTGAAACAGATTTTTTTTATCTGATTTGTCAAAATGACAAGTATGCATAATGATTTTATTGTTACAAATCAAATCCCAAAGCCCACTATCACTCATTATGTAGAAGCCACAGCACTATTTTAAAATATCTCTCTGTGAATATCTAGACACAGATGTTTGATACCATATGCATAGGTCGTTATAATTAAATCTTGACCTTTTATCTTTCACTTGTTTATCAAAGGGTACAACTGTCAACTTTGCTCAAGTCAGTAAACCCTTGCAATGCATAAAATTTAGCTTTACAATAAATATACATGTTTGAAAAGGATCTATAGATTGTTAATTATCATATATCAGATAAGTGAATTAGCGATCTGTGAAAATTCTTTATTGTCATGTTTTAAATATCTTTGATACCCCGTATTGAGGTGCTCTTAATTGCAGGAAGCTAATACAGATAAGATGAATAGGTGTTCCGAATGAACAATAATTTAGCTTCCGAATATTCCTCCATAGACTATATTTCATTGCCCTATGGGCGGATCGGCATCTGCTGAATTGGCTGACCTTACAATGTTTGTCATTCTTGAAAACGTTTTACAACGCTTTCAGCACAGAAACAAAATGATAATGACTTCCAGATTTAGGGATGACGGCTGGATTATATATTCCGGACCTATCGAGGAAATACACGAACTATTTACAATAGCTAATACTGCAAACCCGCACTTGAAGTTCACCTACGAATTTTCCCGTAATGAAACAATATTCTTAGACACTGTCATATACAAAGGAGAAAGATTCTTTAACGAAGGCATACTAGACATTAAAACCCATATCAAACCAACTGAAACATTTCAATACCTACACAGATACAGCTCACACCCGAAAAGTGTTTTCAAAGGATTTATCAAGGGTGAAGTATTGAGATACATCAGAAACACCAGTAGCAGAACTGAACTTAAAAAACAGTTGGAAGCTTTTAAAACACGTCTCCTCAAACGAGGATATAAAATATCTGAAATCAACGAAATTTTTTATCAAACACAAAATATAGAAAGGGAAAACCTGCTTATACAACGCCCAACGAAACGGGAACAATCGCTAGTTATGTTAACAAAATTCAACCCATCTATACAGAAACTAAAAAATATAATTACAAAACACTGGAACCTTATTTCATTAAACCCTGAATGTGTGAACATATTTAATCATCAGCCTTTTATAGCTTATAAAAGACATACAAATTTACAAGAACTATTATCAAGGCATTAGCGGGTATAGTCTGCTCGACCTTTCACAACACAATATGATACTGAGCTCACAAAAAAATAAATCATAATCCACTAATATGTTATCCAAAGACAACCGGTGTATGGTCCAATATAATATACGAAATAAAACAAAAAACAAAAATAACACGCCAATATACAACTTATTGAGTCGACCACTGATGAAGCCGGACTCAGGGATTTTTCCCCAAACACGGCAGAAACACCGGGCCTAACATTCATGCTCATGGGTGAGCTCGGATGCGCTATTTAAATACATTATGATTGGGCCTAGCCCGCTACTCATCCTACTCGCGAATCACTGCTTGCAGTGATCCTCATGGACTTCAATGTTAGTCCCGCCAACCTAACTCAACAATGTACTTAGAAATAAAAATAAAAACGTACATTTAAAACAAGATATAACTATAACTATATATCCTAATTATTGGACTCCAAAACTGGTTGTCTTTGGATTGTAACCGACATTTTACCAAATCACTTATTTACATCGTTCATACATAACTTTCTCAGGACACCACCCAAGATGCTTCAAACTTATCTTAGTAGATGACAGATGACAAACCACAGTTAGCAATCTCTACCGTAAATTTTTACAAAGGAAATTACAACGCTATAAAAATGCATTTAAACTGTCAAACTACAGAACTGGTACTTCTGTGATATCCTAATCATTGAATGACGTGTCTCTTATACAACCTTTTAACCTTAAAATTTCGAAGTTCGCTCACATTACTACTTGGAATTATGTGGCGCTACAATAACAAACTCTCTCTCAACAAAACTAATACAACTACGTACAATAGCCCGTTGCTAAAACTTGAAAAGGAATATAACTTAACAACGACCGAATACGACGGCAACATTTATTTGTGTGAAAAACCTCAAGCAGACAAAGAAACAGCAGTAGCAGTAGAAAATTTGGAAAAATTAAACATGGACCAAACTGACATGAACTTTACATTAGAAAATCTAACCCAGAGGGACATGCCTTTGCCAGAATCCCTCAGTATGGATACCACTAAGAATGACAACCCAGTAGACTTTTTCGACATCGACTTGACATCTCCAATTCAAAATGCAACACCAACAGTAGGAGCAACCATCAAAGCGATAAACACCATCCTTGAGAAAAGACATCACATTCTCACACTAGAGTATACAATGAGAAAAGAATCAACTAGAACACCCATATTTTTGAATACAAACATTGACTTTAGACCATTTTATGGATCAAATGAAGCGAAAGACTTCTTCGTGGGAAAATTAAAGGATATACGTCAAGAATCTGACCAGTGTATTATGGAAAAATTAACCGCATCCTGCAAGGAGTTTACTACCAAATGTACCTTCGATGCTGATAAACTTAAACTGGATCTATACAAAGAACTAAACTCGGGTTCTGAAAGTGGTAACAAGGCTATCACC